CAGATAAAAAAGAAGTTACACGGGTAAAAATTTTCGAAAAAATTACCTAAATATAATAATAATCATCATAATTACAATAATAATAAAAATAAAAATATACAATCAATAATAACAATTATTATTGTTTAAAAGAACTTTATAATATCAAGTAGAAATTCATCAAATTTCTGTATTATATGAAGATGAAAAAAATAATAAAAGGGAAGGTGTAAAAATAGGGGTGGTAGATGTAGAAGGAATGATGAGAAAGTTGAAATTGAACATATTGATAAATCATTATATCCAGGATTTTTCCCAGAAAAAAATGAATTAAATGAATTAATCGATGAAGATGAAAATAATGATGATGCAAAAGAAGCCGGAGATTTTACATGGTTTGTTGATCCTAAATATGAGAATCCTCAAGGAATGTTGTAAATTTATACCCATGTGGCATCCAGATTTGTTTCAGATCCGTCATCAACAATATCAAAATGAAGGGGAAGGAGAATATTTAAAAGATGAAGATGCAGAAAATATTACAATTAAGTTATTGATGTTAACAAGAAATCCGATTTTTCAGATTTGATGGTGAAGGAAAGAATTCAAGGCATTTGGTGTCACAGTTGATGTAATTACAATTTCTACTTGAAAAAGAAAGAGAAGAAACAAATTTAGATCTGTCCAATTCATTGTCACTAACAAGTTGCAAATAGTTGAAGGAAGAGATTCGCAAATATAATATTTAATTATTTTATTCAATAAATAGAAAAACTGGTTGAGCTTACATGAAGGTTAAATAAAATAGAAGCAAGCTGTCAAAGCCTTTGATAATATAAAGAAAATGTATTTGATTTGAATTCAGAACTTAATGAAATGGTAAATATATATTATATATAATTTTTTCATTACTTTAAAAATAATGACTCAATACAACAACACAAACACATATTTTCATTATCCCGATTACACAAATTTCAACAGCGGAACTTAGTATTAATATTAGAACATTCCCAAAATTCTAGCTTGTTAATAGAATTAGGTTTATTTGAAATCTCAACAATTCCCTAAATTAGAATCTCAAATTTGCTTAAAATTGATTTAATTCAAAATGAAAGGTTAATTTGATCAAAGAAACTAAAGAGAAATATGATAAAGCAATGAAAAACCATCTGAAGATTGAATATCTCAACCTTTTGCTGATATATATAATTCGGCGTTCTGATGTCTGTGGTATCAATGGGACAATAACATTTTAGCAGTTTGGCACACAATAATAAAGATATATGAAGGAGTAAGACCTGGATTTTTGATTACGACCCCAAATTTTTATTTCAATAATTACAGCATCTATGGATCCAAATGCAGTTTATAAAAGTAGATTATTGAAATTTACAAATCCTCCATAACCTGTAAATGATAATAGTAATGGTAATTGTTAGCTTAATACTTATATTATTAATTATTTTCGCTTTTAAAGTATAATATTGACCTTAGCTCTCATCAAATAAATTTAGACACATAAGTTAATAAAAAGCACACAACTTAAAGTAACAGATTATAGATATTAATTATCTCCAATGGATTCCTTACGATGATTAAAAGCTACTGCAAAGATAAGGAAAATGGTTTCCCCACCATATACAAAGCTAACTAAAAATATTGATGGAAGATTTATGAAGATAGCATTAAAAAAATTACACTATTCTCAAAATATTTCTGATGAATTTTTGAATGAAGTTATTATTGTTCCAATCACTGGAGAATATATATTTGTGAAATGAAATATACAGTAAGTGGACAAAAAAGCAGTAATCAATTTAGAATATAGCCACTCAGATGCCTGCCTATTATCAAGATGGGTTGTCTGTATCTGGAATTATGTTATGGGAATCAATTGGATTGAACTGCAGGGAAAGAGTTTTTAGAAGAACCAATTATAATTTACAAATCCGATTCTTTTTCTTGTATTCCTATTTTCCAAAAAAAAAAACAATGCACAACAGAAAAGTGATTAGCTCTTGGGGAATTTCATAATGCATTTATATCACCAAAATCACAGATTATAATATTATATGTTAAGTTCTTAAAAAATATAAAGACAATTTGTGCACTTTGAGGAATGTATAATTGGTTCCAGAAACCATTGCTAAAGTAATTTTGATCTATTTTGATTATCAATTTATAGTCCCTTACAACAAAGTTATAAATCAAAAATTGAACGTGAGAGATTCAGTTATTATTTCTTATGCAGATGGTAAAATTTATCAAGCAACAACTATTAAACGATATATGAGAAGCCTTGGACATGAGATTGGCCTATGTACGGAGTATAATGATCAGATCAAAACAATGTTACAAAGATTCACAATTTCATCCTTGAGAACTAATGCATAATCATGAAATTAACTCTTTTGAAGAAAAGGTTGAATATATATTTAATTAGGTATTTCATCTGGTACAATTAATTTGACCTGGAAAGAATATTTATATTAACGATTATAACATTAAGTTTTTTAAATTATTTAAATATTTCATAAATAATGTTAATAATTACCATTATAATTGCCTTAATAGTTACTTTATTAGAATTTGCAGGTTGAGGAATATTTGTAAATTTTAATAATCTGCTAGTATAAATGGCATTTGGATGAATTGTTGTAGTAATTATTGAAGTAACAAAATATATTTTGTCCGTTTCATCAAATATTTTTCTAATTCATCAATTTGTTGTTTTAAATATTTTATAATATTTATTATCAAACCTGGGCAAAAGATTTTGTTTGAACCCCCTAATAGAACATTTACATCAACGTCAAATTAAAATATTAGAACATCAAAAACGCGCCTTGCCTCTTATAATAAACAATTTGTTGGAATCGCCTTTTTTACACAAAAAAATTTGTCATATGTAACATTTTAAAAAATGAATGTCAAACAAATCTTTGAATTCTAACAGTTCAAGTAAAAATTTGTTTCATGGGCAAAAACAACTCGAACATTTATGTTACAAACTTGGGTGGGAATGTTAACGATCTGTCTTTAAATAACATGCCAAGTTTTTCTCGGTCTAGAAAAGGGACCGTGACCTTGAATTGATTCTAGACCGAAAGTGCACATTATGTGGCTCGATTTGTTCATAAAGGTAAACTTCGTCCCTAGACCGAAATGACCAGATTGTCAACTCTGCCCATATATTTACTTACCCCCTAGTACTAAATAAAGTTAAATGAAGATAGCATAAAATTAACAAGTTGGTTAGTATACTTTAAAAATTAAAGTTAAAAGAATTTCTACTTTTATCAATCAATAAAAGATCAAATGGTATTAACATCTAAGTTAATATCTATTTAGATGTCTAGGTTTGTCAATTTATTTAACTAAAAACAAAAACAACAAAAAACCATTTTCTCGTATATGTAATTATATAATAAATATACTAATGCTAATACTAATGTTCGTATTATTTCCATATATGAACTTTTTTCAATGGTAGAGAGTAGGTAGTTCAGGCAGAATGTTAAATGTTTTTTTTGTATGAAACCGAAATTCCATAGTAATAGTAATAGTAATAGTAAATGCAGAAGATTGAATTTAATTTTGCATGAAATTCTTTATTTTTAAGGAAGTCGGGCGATTCTTTATTTTTAAGGAAGTCGGGCGATTTTTTTTTCTTATGATTTCAATTTACTTTGAAGCAAAGTTATTGATAATTAGATTTACAAAGAAAACCTTATTTCCGCAAAGAAATCAATTAACTTCATAAAAGCACAATAGCTCTAGACCACATCCTTTCTTTAAAGGAGCACCAATCCCACTCACTGCAGTATTTTTATCTGATGCTATCGTTCCTAGATGAACCGATAGTTTTACTGTTTTCGGAACACCAACGGAATGTCTTTATAGCTTCCGAACTTGTGATTGTATTTTTACTACGAAAATATGTTCTGAAAGTTTTTGTGATATGCCAACTAGAATCACATTTACTGAAACAGCGAAAGTTCCGATAGTAAATCATACGATATCAGAGTTGCTGTTGTGAATTAGTTACTACTGATGCTTGCATATTGGCTCTTGTTGATGCTGTATCTGCTGCGAATTAGTGTTGGTTTCCAAAACTCGAGAGTTTCGCAACAGTGCGAAAGTCAAAAGGTTTCGCCATAAGTCGAAACTAG